CTTTTGTTAGCAAAACAAAAGCCACCCACATGCATCCACACCTATGCGCAGATTTTGTTTGCTTGCACACTAACACACACACCAACACACACACATGTTTTCATACACTGTCACGTAATCCTTTTGAGCGCTGCTTTTATCGCGCTTATACACTTTCCATGTAACTCTAAAAACTTGTCCATTAGGCAACGCCAAACTTCGCATGCAGCAAGTGAGTTAATGTTGTCTAGTCTAGAATTTTGAGTAGGTTTACTGTGATTATATATTGGGTCGTTGAAGTTATGACATGTGCACAAGCGAAAGTTGTGAGAGTGTTCAGCTTGAAGCTTACGTATGCAGTCCAGAAGTTTGAGTATTTTTTTATCTCAAATTAAATATCTATGCATAGAATTTGTTAAGATATATTTCAGCTTGAAGCATTTCAAATATGAATTAAATATGTTGAAGTCTCTAGTAGCTGGGAAGCCCGCAGAGCAACTGTGACTAAGCTCTGGTTGCTCGACTAGCCTATGGAAATGTGTAACTTTTTCTATGAAATGTTTTTTTTTCTAGTTGCAATATTTCCAGGTAAATTTGAAGTGCTTGTAGTTTAAGCTGTAAATTTTTATAGATTTTTTCAATTTTAATTTTAATTGATTTTGCTGCATTTAAAATTGAAAAAAGTTAAAATTGAATGCAGTTAAGTTCCGAAGCGCTTCTCAAGATGCTAGCTCGGGTATGCTTGGCCCAATATAAGACTCAAATATTATTTAAGATTCATAAGCAGCTCATTTTTTCAGTTAATATACACTCAACTTGCGCCGAAGCCCAGCTACATTTAAGAGTATTTGGCAGTCATTTCGCAGCACACAAAACTCTTTGCTTCTTTTTAGGTTTATTTTTTTTGTTGCTTTCCGTTTCGTTTTTGCTGTGTACCTGTTGTGTTGTTGTTGCTGTGTATCTCATTATGCGTCAGGCTTCTTCCACTAGTTGTTGTATTTGTTGCTGTCTGCGTCTTAGGTTACATATTTCATATTTCATAGTCAGAGAACCGCATGGAACGGCGAACGGCGAACGGCGAGGCAGTCCCTGTTGTCACTTTCAACCCATCTGCGCACTCCAATTGGGAACTGGCTGCAACGTTTGTTCAAGTGTTTTGCTTGCGGCTTTTGTTTTGCCCTGCGGCCAGGAAACAGTCGCAACAGCAACAGCAACAGCAACAACAAACAGCAACAGGCAGGTCTGAAGTGGTAGGACTCTGCGACAGCATAGCTCAACGTCATCGTCATCAATGGCAACAAACTTGGGGCCAGCGACTGCGACTGCGACTGCGACTGCGACTGCTTGCCAAAGGATTTCATGTTTATTGCAAGTTGTATTTTTCCTTTTGCATGCCTGCTTATTAAAAACAACAACAAAAAAGTTAAAAAAAAAAAACTTTTTGTGTGGCTTCTTCGTAAATTCAACGTGTCAGTCGCAAGTTAAATGAGTTTCTCCTCGTTTTTTTGCTTTTTGCACAGGAAGTTGTTAAGTGTTGCCCTGGCAGAGGCAGCATCTGTTTTGAGCCTGTCCCTGGGCCGAAGTCTCTGTGCCAGTTTACTTGCCATGGCCAAGCACTAGCAAGCTGTGCAGGGGCGCCACTAAATTAATTAAGCCATTCTCAATGAAATCGAGTAAAATGCGAGGCTCAACTGAAACTGTGTCATGCCATGCACCAGCAGCAGCAACACGGAAAGAAAGAAAAAAAGATCAGCAAACAGGCGACTAAAACTCCAGACACGTACGCGCCAGGAAACCGAGTCGACTCGAGTCGAGTCGCGTCAGTTGGCCAATCCTCAACACAAACAAACTCCGTTTGAGGCTGTGGCATCAATTTTTGTCCAGTAGCCAGCAGAAAATGTCACGTTTCTTCAGCCACATAAGTTACAGAAAAAAAAACCGTGAGAATTGCTGCTGTTAAGTTTTTCCTGCAAAAAAAAAAAATAGGTACTTTCCATGGTGGAAATTAATTGCTGGCCGTGTTATCGTCGTCGTCTAAGAAACAGACGGGCGAATTAATTGGAAAGCAGTGCAAAACACACGAAAAAAATTAAATAAGATATCTAAGAGTTAGCTGAAAGCTAAAAACAATGAGGCTAGAAAATGAGCTACTCTAATAAACTACTCCCAAAGGCTTTTCCAACACTGTCCAATTAATTAAAATTAAAACAAAGTTGTTAGAGCTAATTCAACAAGCAGAATAAATGAAGCAACTCAACTGGTAACTGAGCAATAATTATTTGCCGTGACTTGTTCAACACTGGCGAGCAGTGATAAAAGCAGTGGCAAAATGAATCGATTAGAGCTAGACCTTGAAATATGTTCTTAGTCACAGAAGCTTTTCCAGCACTGAGAAGCAGTGCAGTAAAACGAGGCTAACAAATGAGCTAGTCTCTTAAGTAGCTCACAAAGGCTTTTCCAACACTGGCAGCTAAGTGGTATGCACTAAATGCAGTGAACACCTTTGACAGATCACACAAATCAAGTACTTATTGACGCAATAAAACTAGCTAGAAATTCTACTATGCTTTTAAGCTACTCACAAGAGCCTTTACAACACTAGATATTTATTAAGTAGTATAAAAAGCATGAAACTATTTGACATAAAGCTTAAAATAATACAACAAATTGGTTTACAATATAGTTTGATCTAAAGCTTGGTTAACTGACGGCTAAGAAAAGAGTTTTCAAAATGGATTTATGCTCTTTTCCAACACTAGCTAATCCTTTACAAAGCACACACACATGGTAATACATATTCATAAGCCAATCATAATATATTTCATAAGCCAACCTCCTACTGAATATAGCTGAAAAGAGCATACTTTTCATATAGCCTTTTCCCACACTGGCAAATACATAAAAAAATTCAATTATGCTTCCTTTAATGTACAGCACGAAATGTTTTATAACTTTTGGTGAATGCACTTTATGTTGTTGTTGTTGCTGTTGTTGTTGTTGTTGTTGCTGTTGTTTCGGGGGAAAATTGCATTTTCAGCTCGTGGCTCATAAAATTGTTTATGATTCGCGCGTTCCAGCAGCCATTGCATAGCCTTAAGTCCAGTCCAGGTCAGTCTATGTCAGCTTCTCTATACATATGTTTCCCTGCTTCTAATTGCCAACTAATTTAGTAAACGTTTTCGGGCAGACACACATCAGAACTGAACTGCACAGTTCAGCTTGTGTTGCCATCGTCGCATTTATGTGAGCTCATAAATATGCAAATATCCTTTAAGTACTTTAAATGTCTGGTCATTTGTTGGCCAGGCTTACAACTCCTACTCCACAAGCTGCCAACTCGCCACTGCAACTGCAACTGCAACTGCACTTCCCTCTGCCTAATGGTCTTAATGGCATGTTGGGCATTGTCGCCAGCGTCTTGGGCATATTTGCCTGCATCTTCAGGCAGCCTTTGCCACAAATGCAATTTCTATTCAACTTTATGAGCACATAAATAACACCTTTAGATGAGAGTGTGCATCTGTGTACGTGCGTGTGTGAATTTTTTGTAAACTCCACGAGGGCAGTCTGTAAAATTGATGTGAAACGCAGAGCGCAGTGCAAAATTTTAAAAAATATGTTAACATATGAAACTAACCTCGCATTTAGATAAGTTCTTTATCGTTAGCTTCTTATAATTAAATATAAAATATATATGCAGAGCTTAATGAGCTACAAAGATAGTTAAGATATAGTGCCAAGTGGGAAACTTTACTAGCTAACCTCGTTTCTAGCTAAGCTTTGCAGTGCAAGGCTTATGTAGTTAAGTCTACGCAGAAGTTTTTATACTGCTGCTAAAAGCAGATACAGCATTGTTCACAAAAATAGTAGTGCGACTGAAAATCGAAAACTTTTCAAACAACGCTCGCTTATAGCATGTAGAAAACACTGCGCGTAACATAGGCCACTTTAAGATTGTCTGCAAAATTCTTGCTGAGCTAAAATTGAACAGAAACTGCAGTATATATATTATTTAAAATTGAAAACTTATTAGACAACCCTCGCATAAAGTTAAATACTCTTAAAATATAGGTACATCGATAAAAGTATAGAAATATGGAAAAATTTATGTATATATGTAAGCATAAGGCCAAGCGTAAAACTTTACAGACTACCCTCGCATATAGTTGAGCTCTCTGGCAAGAGACACGTATAGCTATGAGTTAGCTACGCTATTTAAAGTACCACAAAACTTGTAGTAGTTCAAAGAAGAAATAATTATATAGCAAACTGTTCAAACTACTCTCGCCTATAGCTTAACTATCTAGCATAAGCCACTCTAGTGGTAACTCACGCAGCTTTAAGTATACTCTTGGCCCTTGCGCTGCCTTGATTAGGGCTAGGCATAAAAACGATCGTAAAAAAAAAATAAAACCCTTTTGACTAATTAAAAACAACAAACTTGCAGGACTTGCCGAGAAGAAGAAGAAGCAGCAGCAGCAGCAGCAGCAGCAGAAGAAGTTGAAGAAGACAGGACGAGCACAAGAAGAATTCGCACACTGTGGCCAGAACGAAGAGGAGCAGCAAACCGAATGCAGTATCTCAACTACGCTCTGCAAACATCCACGCGACTGCTGACCAGCCACAGCCACAGCCAGAGTCAAAGTCAAAGTCAGAAACAGTTTGAGACGAAACTCAGTCAGAATCAGCAGCAGCAGCAGCATCAGCAGCAGCAGCAGCAGCATCAGAATCAGTATCAGCGTCAGCGACAGCGTCAAATAGCAGCAATTGAGGCAGCAGCAGCGGCAGCCACGCCCATTGAAGAGCAAATAGCAAACGCCTGTTGCAGTCGTGGAGCCCAATTGCTGCGACTGCGTCAACAGGAATTGTTAAAGCGACGCGCGCTCGAGTTGGAGGATCAGTTGAACGCCAACGTCGACAGCTGGGAGAGCGACGCCAATAGCAGCGAGCCAGAGGAAGGAGCTGTGGGTGGACAGCAGTCAGAGCAGCCAGAGCAGCAGCAGCAGCAACTGGAGCAGCAGCAGCTGGAGCAGCAGCAGCTGGAGCCGCAGCTGGAACGTGAGCCGCAGCCAGTCCAATGAAATTTACTCTCATTTAATGTTCAATTGGCGCGCAGCAAGCTGCTCTCATTCTTTAATCGCGACATGGCCGCCACCGATGGCCAAATCATATTGGCAGCATCCCGTTTCGGTGATGCAACGCCCGTTTATTTGCGCGACTTTTCCAAACAGCCGCTGCCGGCGGTGGCCAAAATCCTTAAAGGGCAACATCAGGCACTGGGCGTACCCACACTCTCGGCTCCGTCGCTCCAGAGCACCGCGTTGTTCCTGAGCGCTGGCAAGAAATATCAGATATTGGCGCAGCCCATCAAGATCAAAGAGGGACGCAAGCCCACTAATGTGGGCGCCAAGGTGCTCATACCAGAGACCTACAACGGCTATTTCGAGCTGCTCAGCGAGGACGGGCGCTCGACGCGCTGCATCGACTCGGTGTTGGAGCTGGCACGACGACGCAATGCTCGGGTTCTGGTGCGTGAAACGTTTCGCTGCCAGCAATTGAATCGCACCATACACGCCGGCGAGCTGCTGACCACCATGAACGACAATGGCAAATATCTGCAGTGCCGAAATATCAAGGACGAGATCATCAATCTGCCACTCGATACCAAAGCCAAGTTTTCGCCGATAGCGCGCGAGGACAGCATCAGCGGTGTGCATACGGTCAAGAATCTGTTGCTCAAGCGTATGCCAGTTATTGTGAGGTGAGTTGAATTGCTTAGATAACTATTTAAACTGAGATAACTATTTATAATACCCGTTCACTTTGTGCCAGCAGAGCATATTGGTTTTAGCTATAGTCTGTTTGTTTGTCCCTTTTTCTCATTCAATCTAAAGTAATTACGAATATATATTTCTCTAAGATATATCTCTCTAGTAACGTCCTATGCTCGTTCAGCGTGTGCAAAGAGAGTATATTGGTTTTTGTGCAGTGCCCTCAGTCCTGATGTGTTTATGCTTTGTCTGTCTGTGAATTTTTCTGATCTATTAAAGCTAGAGATTTATCATTCCGCATATATATATGCCTCTGTGAAGGCGTCTTATGCTCGCTCAGCGTGTGCAAAGAGAGTATATTAGTTTTTGTGCAGTGCCCTCAGTTCTGATGTGTTTATGCTTTGTCTGTCTGTGAATTTTTCTGATCTATTAAAGCTAGAGATTTATCATTCCGCATATATATATGCCTCTGTGAAGGCGTCTTATGCTCGTTCAACTTATGCAAAGAGAGTATATTGATTTTTGTTCAATGTCTTCCATATTGTTGTTTATTCGTCCGTCTGTCTAGCTGTCTGTCTGTCTGCCTTACCTGTTGAATGCCTACTTGAAGTTAGGAATACACATTCCTCTGTAACCTCCACTGATACGCGTTCAGCTTGTGAAAAAAGAGTATATTGGCTTACTACAATTACTTCTATATTGCTGTCTGTTCCGTTCAATCATTGTATAACACTTTCAGCTTATACATCTAGTTACCCCTTATACCCTACCTATGCATATTCAAGCATTACTATCTAGAGGTTAGATCTATTAAAGATCTATTGAAGACGTTAGTTCTATTAAAGATCTATTAAAGAGGTTAGATCTATTAAAGATGGAAATATGTTGTACTTATGCGCCTCAAGACACTATCAATTCTCATAGGGGCTTAGCATATCTTAAAAATCTTTAGCTTTCCTTGAGTTACTATCAGAAGCAAGCTAAATCAGTAAACTGCTATATCATGCATAAATTTAGCGCTAAGAGCGAGTATTATGCAGTCGCTAATGCTCGACGTTGCCACATTTGAGCTTGTCTTAGCATATCCTATATAAAATAACTTCTCTATCCGGCTGCAGGCTCGTTCATGGCAGCGCGCCGAAGGGTCTGAAGCAGCCATTTGTGCCGGAGCTGCGTCTGTTGGGCTGCGTGGAGATCGATCGCATCTTTGCGCTGCCACTGCAAAAGGATACGGATTTGGTGCCGGTGCCGTTGAATGCAAAGATCAAGCTGCAGTGTGCCAAGAACATGGAGCAGTTGGAGCACTTCATTGAGTACACGCGCTTCCTGGACAAGGCGCAGCGCTTGCTGGCCGATGCACGCGATCGCCTGCAAATTGTTGATCTCAAGCTGAGCGAAAAGGAGAAGAAGGACTCCAAGTTCAGCAGTCGCAATAGCAGCGGCAATCGCTTGCCCATTGTCATGCTGCCGTCGGCGGCGGGCCTGGCCAGCGGCTGGTTGGAGAGCGGCTATGTGTTGCGCAAGAGCGCCAGCTGTGATTCGTGGTCCAAGCAGCACCAGCTGCAGCATCAGCAGCAGCAGCAGCAGCAACACCAAATGCTCAATGGCAATGACATTGCCGAGGAGTACAACGAGATCGATCACATCTATGATTACGTGCGTGGCCTGACACCGCTCTCGAAGGGTTTGGCACGATTCGAACCGATTTGCGAATCGCCTACGCTCAAATCGCATCATACGGACAGCAGCGGCAATGGCAACTATTGCAGCTTGATACGCGCACCAATAGCAGCCGCCGCAGCTCCGACACAGCAACCAGGGCAACAGTCGCAGCAGCAGCAACAGTCGAGCAACAACAACAACAACTACAGCAGCCTCGAGTCGAATAAGCACAGCAGCAGCAATGGCGGCAACACACATCATCATCAATATGCAACGCAGCAGCAACACCAACAGCCGCAACAGCAGCATCATTTGCTGGTCAATCACTATCATCACAGCCATAGGCAGGAAGATATCAAGCCCGTGCCGCCGCCCATTGAGACAATTCCGGGCAAGAAGCCAGCCGAGAAGCGACAGCGTCCCACACTACCAAAGCTTTACATCAAGAATTCGAATGCGAATGCGAATGCGAATGCGAATGCGAATGCGCATAGCGCCGGCAGCAGCAGCAATGGCAACTCAACTGGCGGCACCAGTCACAGTCACAGTCACAGCCATAGTCACAGTCACACTCACAGTCACAGTCAGCAACAGTTGCCGCCAACGCCCAACAACAACAACAACAACAACCCAGCTGCCATTGTGGCTGCTGCAGCGATCAATGCACATCACGCTCACTCGCATGGACATCCACACACACACTCACACCCACATCCACACCCACATCCACATCACGGCAAGGTGCTGACGCCCAATAATCATTTGCCAGTTAAGGAATCGCTGGAGCCGCAGTCGCCGCTGTTTCATATCAGGTGAGTGCAACATGAGGCGAAGAGCTCTCATTAGATCTTGTTAAGAGTATTCAAGGAAACTCTAAACTAGTAATCGATTGTTTGGCAAATTTAAATAAGCTTATTAAAGATATATCACAAGATAATATCTGGTCAGTCACTGTGATATTACAGGGTATTTTGCCGTCGTGCAAATGTGTAGATAGGTAAAAGAAGGCCTAAAGCTTATAGAATAACAGCTCAGAATAACAGACTTACCCAGACTGAGTTCGTCTGAAACTCATTGTATTCGTCTCACTGAGCTCACACGTTTTTTCGCTCTTCCAACCTCATCGAACTCATAAACTACTAAAGCCAGAGACTTGAAAATTTGTGTATATATTCGTATAGAGCCACTCAACATAAGTTTAAAATTTCATAAGCATAACTCATTTAAATTCTCTAATATCGATAAATATCGGCATACAAATAAGAGTTATATGCAGGCCGGATAAGTTAAGTCAATGTGACCTTGCTCATCTGTCTAGCTCACTATTTGTCTGTGCGTTAATCTCTTCGTCTCTTGACCTCAGCAGATCATCATAGCTAGAGCCACCCAATTTGATATGTGTTAATGAATACAAGTTCTGAAATCAGTCGTTATATTTACTGTCCGCCTAGATACAAGAGCCTCAGCAGCCTGCAGTTGACGCCCGATAGCAATACAGCGGCTATGACGCCGCCGATCTCAGCCAAGGCAGCAGCAGGAGGATCAGTTGACGCCTGCTCACAGACGCCGCCCGACGTGGTGCTCAAGTGCAGCAGCATACTGAACACCCATGGCTACCTACACAGTCACAGTCACAGTCACAGTCGCAGCTCGAGCAGCAACAATCATCATAATCCGCGCGAGGGTACACTCGACTCTTCGCGCAGCGGGGGACGAACCTCGGGCGATTCGCAGAAGCAGCTGCCGGAGAAGAAGACGCGACGCCTGTCTCGGCCGCGCAGCCTCTCCAATTTGGTGTGGGATCTGCGGCCGAGCAAGGAGAAGTCCAAGAAGAAGCTCTATGTGCATCATTTCGATCAGCGTCAACAGGCGACGCTCTATCTCTAGGAAGTTATGATGAGAGCGAGGTGAAGTGAACTGAAGTGAAGTGAAGTGAAGTTGGAAGAAGATTCGTTGCCAAATCGTTTCGCTGCCATCAACGACAAACCCACAGACAACAACAACAACAACAACAACAACAAACAACAAGCAACATTTAGAGCGCTGTGTGTGTTCCTGCAGGTGAGCTTCGAGTCGCTAGCGGGTTTGGGGCGGGCAGCGCGGGGGGCGTGGCAATGCAAATCGTGCCGGCCCTCTGATTGTTTTGCTTATTAAATTCGTGCAGCTTAAAAACTTAAACTAATTTCCGCTCGCCTCTTGCTAACTCACTGGCTATATCTATCTCTCTCTCTCTCTCTCTCTCTTGCAGCTTTCACCAAATTTTTTTTCTTTACTATTTTTTTAGAGCTTGCAGCAGCAATTTTTAATTAATATTGAATTGTGCCTTTCCCTGCGCCCAGAACTATGCTTTAAACAACAACAACAAAATTCCACTCAAATATTTTTCAAGAATATTTTGCCTGGATGCACGAACGACAACTGAGAGAGAGAGAGAGAAAGAGAGAGCGAGGAAGTTACTGAAGCAGTTGAACCAAACAACAAAATCAAATCACATGAAGCGCTGACACACACCTACACACACACACACACACACACTACACACAACACACACATCAAGTCTATAAAATTGTGATTTTAATTTTATGTTTAATTTAATATTATGCGACACATTTAGTTAATATCTTTTTAAACGATGAGGCGATGAAAGAAGAAAGCAAAAAACAAAGCAAAAAAAAACATAAACAATATATTAAATAAAAAAATATATATATATAAACAAAAGCCATTTATCAATTTGCTGTCGCTTTTAGTTTTGAGTCACATGGCAAAAAATAAAAAATAAAAGAGAGAAGGAGAAGCAGCAATATCAAAATACACACACACATTTATAAACAAATACAAATACACACACACACATACACACACAGACAATTATATGCATATAAGTATATTATGTAGTTAAGCAATATATATATATATCGTACATTATTTAACTAGATGAAGTTATGCAAGAACAGCAGCGGCTGCAACAAGCAACAAACAGCAAGATTTATGCAATTTTTAATAGTTAAACAATGAATTTAATTAATTTCTCCTCATAATTTAAATGATGATAAATTTCATAATTGTTTATAATTAATGCAATTTGATTACAATTACAATTACAATTACAAGTAAACTATAATCTTGTTAGTCTCTTTTCTTTTAGTTGGAGCTCAAGAGAGAGCGAGAGAGGACACTATATCACTCTCTCTTACTCTCTCTCTCTCCCTCTCTTTTGCTCGCATTGTCTTAGTCGTTTAGCGTGTACATTTTTTAGTTATTACAAATGATATCGCTTATACAACTAGCATATTATGTGAGCGTCTAGAGTATATAATATTACACTATAAAACTACATTCTATTTGTGTCTAATAAATGTCTCAGAAATATATATATAACTATGTATATCAATTGTATATGCAAATCAAGTTGTTATTGTTCAATGTGGTGTGGGCGTCGCAGCGAATGAAAGCAATTGAAACAGCTATAGAAATGGGAATAGTTGGTTGACGACATCAGCGGATTGCACCTGCAACAGGTAATTAAGCTGCTTTTACATAGCTTGATCGAGCCATAAATGCTATAAACAATGGAAACTGCGCAACTAAGCTCGATTAAAATTATATATCTATAAATATTTTGAATACAATTTAGTAAAAAGTTAAGGCAAAGTGTGCTAGCTGCAAGGGCTTTCAGCTCTATTAAAATATATATTATAAACATGCTATATATATAATATATATAATTTAAAGCCATCAATTGTCACGAGGGCAGACATCATCCAGCATCAACTCCTCTCAAGTTATTGCAACGTCATCGAAAAATTCATCAAAAAAATAAAAAAAAAAATTTACAAATTCTTTAATAATTCAAAAACTACACACACAATTTTAATATCCTTTAGCTTTATGAATAGTCCTGTTTAGTACACACTTTTTGACATACAACGTGCCAGGATATGTCAGGATACATTGAAATTACAGCAACTATTCCTATTCCCACAAATTTTTAATGCCAATCGATGCAGTTGCCTCCTTCAAGTCTAACGCACCAAATCCCGTCAAAATCCGCCAAAATTTGGCCAAGTTATGGCTACTTTTATAAAAAGGATATATTTCTCAAGCCATAACTCCGCCATATCCTTAAGTATCCTTAAAGCATATACCTTTATGAGCTGCTGGCAAGCGGCACTATCGATTCTCATTCAAAAATTCTCAAGATTCCATCAAAAATTACAGCTCAAAATTTTGCAAGGGGTTTGGTCGAAAAATGGCCAACAGCCACCTTAACTTGGCTAATTGAAGGACTAGCAAGCTGTCCTTTTAACCATATATGCAGTATATTTGCCTCATTAAGAATCAACAAGCAGCAATGTAAGAGTCCTTCAAGCAACCGAGTTATAAGGACTTTTTTCTGCAGAGAAAAATTGCTATAACTCAGCCGCATCCTTGCATATCCTGTCAAGCTTAGTGTTCAATGATGTGGGGTCACTAGGACTATCAACATGCCAAAGGACATCGCAATCGTGCCAGTGGTTAACGAGATATTGGCGATTTTGTGTGTTTTTGCCGATTTCCTTTGCCGACGCAGCTCGTCTGCAGCTCAAAATGTTCAAGTCCTGGATTCTTAGATGACCTAATAATCTTTTGATGAGGATCAATAGAGTTGGTGCTCAAGATACAAACGCATCATGTGCTTTCGTCTTGAGAGCGAATATGACCAAGTTAGAGCCTTGTTTAAACTGAAAAAATCAGCTTTGCCAGTAGCTCTAAGTCGGCTAAAGCCTTGGGAATCTGAAAAGGATATGCCTATTGGAACTGGCAGAATAAAGATCTATCGATTGCCTTTCAAGGACTTTCAGGATTCCGTGTATCGAGCGTTGTATATATAATCTAAAGTTGTTCTGCAATGTTGCCCCTTTGGCTATGCAACGAAATTTTTTCGGCGGATTTTTCTTCTGCTTTCTGTGACCTCTGTTCGCCTGGTAATTTATCCGAAATTTCGTTAAATTTTGTGATTTAGCAGCTGTCAACGATCGCCCCTGGATGGTATGCAATGAATTTTATTTTTTTTTCACAGCTTTTCGGCTACTTTCAGGCCATTTCTGTTCTACTTGTATTTAAGCTGCATTTTTTAAATAAAACGTAATTGTTATTTATATCTTTTCATGTTTTTTATTTCATAAATAAGATTTTTTTAATTATATAAATACTTATGTATTTTATATGGCTATAACTGGCGCATATTGGACATAATACTGAAGTACTTAAATCTTAATTTTATTTCAATTTCTTAAACTATAAGTAATATATAAATTAAATAAAATTAATTACGAATAGACTGGCATGGATACAATTTAATGCCAACAGATAGGCTTTTTACTGTTCTTAAGGAGAATGTGGTTAAGCAGAATGTTGTCTTTTCAGTCGTCTCTTCCCCAACATTAACAACGCCCTGTGCTTCACTCTAGCAACCGCAAGGCTAGACACCTCGTTTGGTTTGGCCCTATGTAGTCAGTCGCTCCGTGATTTACGCCATCGCTAGTTTTATGAACATTTTGGTGATAATTTCATAATTGCACATGAAATTTGATTATTATGCAAGAATAGTCTGAAACTATATTCCTATGTTGACTGAAATCTGCAAGAAAAGACGTAATTAGACAGGTTGGTATATCACTATTTCTATAATTCAGTTCTTACTTAAGCTTGTGTAGATCGGCCGTATGCTATGCTGCATGAGAGAGGACGAAAAGGAGTTTGAGAATGTGGTGTGGTGTGCTTATCCTGTTCTTCAATTGTGCCTGCTGTTATTGCTTTAGTGTTCTATTAAAGCATATTCAATTGTGCCTCTAAAGCCCAAGTCCAATGAAAATCTATAAAAAAAATATCATTGTTAGAGATTGGTTTCAAAGAAATGTAGGAATTACTTACAGCAATTTTGTTATCCCAAAGACCATGTTATCTGCAGCCACTATAGATTTGACTGCATAAAAGAACTTCCTTTTATAGCCGGTCAACCAGGTGATGTTTCTGAAAAAAACAAAATGAAATGAAGGTAAATATCAATTTCTTAATATGACGCTTTGCATATATAGAAACGCCAGATTAGTTCGATAACTTGGTAATTAATTATCCAGCTTTTATTATACCCTCAAGACTTGGTTATCAACTCATTCTGCGCATATTTACAGCGTATTAAAGTATCTTTGATTGCCTAAGCTGTTTTATAGACTTCATACGTGACCCGCTCCTTATAACTACACAGCGAGGTCAACAGCAACAGCAACAACAACATGAACAACTCAGTTAAATACACAGAGCACACAATACTTAACTGGCTTTAACCAAAACGGGATCATGCGCCAGGTGAAAACTGCGCAATTGCTAGCGTTTGCTTTTGTTTTTGTTTTCGTCTTTTCGTTTTTTTTTCTGAAAACGCACCAAGCGCAAAAAATTTCAATAGAGCAACACTTTGTAATTTATGGATACACGCCAAATGCTTCCTGCTAAGCGTCGAGCGAGACAATGAGGCGAAACACACCTGCCAAAGCTTCGACACCTGGCCAAAAACATGAATTGCGCCCATTTGGGCAAAGAATTAAATCCCAATTGCATTACACACACACACACACACAACAACCACATAGGAGCGCATGCGGAACAGATTGAGAGAAGAAAAAAATGTTTATAGATAGTTAGAGGAGGCTCAATTGCGTTAATGTTCGTAATTAGTTGGCAATATCGAAAGATTTAATTTGCGCGCACCAAAAACGTAGCCAAGCCGATCAAGTTTGTTGCCTAAGTCTTTTGTTATTGTAGCGAATGAAGCAAAACATAAAAAAAAGAAAGAAAAACAAATTGTGCTATGCAAATAGTTGAGAGGAGACAGAGAGAAACGTATCTCGAGCTTAAGCTGGCGGCAACGAATTGAATAACATGAAAAATGCGCTTACATTGCGATATCATCACGTTTATGACGCTGGCGCAATTAATCAGCCGACATGCAAGCGCTAAAAGGCAGAACTCCAAACTCCAAACTCCCAACTGCAGCTCCAACTCGCAGTCGCAAGTCGCAAGTCAGAATTGGAGTTGGAAGTTGGCAGTCGCAGACTGCAGCAACGCACAGCTGGCCCTGGCTTTGCTTAAGAACGAACCATAAACGTTTCTCTGCTCATCAAATGTGCAATTTATAACATTTTCCTAGGCGGCTGCCGCGACGACCAAAGCTTCAGCTTCAGACGCCTACGCAAAAGAAGAAACCAAAAACAACAGCAACAAATGAGGGAGCTCTCGACCAGATGATACCTCGACAATACACAGAAAATAGAAAATATATAGAAAATTGCTTCAGATTCTGTTGCTGCTTGCGTTTCCTATTTTTCAGTTTAATCATCTCTAAGCAAATTTTTATTCAGTTCTAAATGAATACGATAAATATGTTACTTTCAATTTCAGCTTTTAGCCCTTTTAGCCCATCTGTATGCCAGATGGAAGTAAATATAGCCAACTGGCATACATACAAACACGTCTCGATCAAACTCACTCGGAATTGCCATCAAAATGATGCATCTATCTATATATCCTAGATGGATATTTAGATCTTAAAGTCTGCCTGCTTCTGGTGCTATTCCATGCGTTTGCTTATTAACCATTCATATTCATATTCATTGACACCGCTTACAGGGTATAACGCATATATATTCTCAGACATCGTTCTCTGGCTGCATGTTGCCTGGCCATTTGCTACAGTTATGGCACACAGGAAGACACTGAAGCCAACTGGCTCGTCGAACAGCTGCCATGCTGCACTGGCAGAGCCTCGATCCATCCGCCTTGGCATTGGTGCGGCTCATGTGCCGGCGATTTGTATCGCCGTCTGTTTAAACTGTGTAAATCGCCCTAAACTACGCATCAGTTTCGGTTTCAATCTTAAAAACTTGCTTCGCCAAGCAGCCAAGCAGCATCAGCATCAGCAACAGCATCTCTTGTCTCTACTGCCTGCCCGCTAACCGTAAGACCGTTGCCTTGCTTCAATATGTTTATTTAAACGCTGCTGCTGCTGCTGCTGCTGAGCGTTGAGGAAGTGGTTTCATTTGCCATGGCTAGCAACTTGATCGCGATATATTCACGCGATATGCGATGTAGCGGTAACAAATTGGCCCAGCCATTGGCTTCCTATCAGCTCTCTTAGCGCTCTGCTCTCTGCGTTCTCTGTGCAAATCCTGGCCCAGTTCTAAGTTGCTTCCGCGTCACCTGAGCACAATTAAAAGTGCGCACAGTTCAATTACCCACAGCCCAGAGACTGAGACAACGACTTCCCCCTATTGAACATTGGCCCAGGCAGAGGGTCTAGGTCTTCGGTCTGGCTCTTTGTCTGTGCACAGTCAGTCAGAGTCAGAGTCAGAGTCGGAGTCAGAGAGTTGTGCAATTACGCGGGTCGTCGACATTTGATGGCTGTTTGTTATTGTTGTCTGTGTTTGCCAATTGCGCAACTGTTGCTAGTTCCAACTGCCTCGATAATCATTCAAATTTACAAGAAAACAATCAAAAACAAATTCCTAGAACACAAATCGACGAAACTCATTTCATTTCAATTAAAGTTGCACGCCGATTGCGAACAGAGGATCGCATTGCTCAGCGAATGAGCAGCGGATAGAGGAAATTGTATACTCTATAAGGTAGATAAGATATAGAGATAAGAGCGCCAAACAGCAGTAGTAGAGAAAGGTATATGTACTAAAAGAGTGTATGAGAATCGCGTAGAAAGGCGAAATCTTTATACTTGCATAAGAAAACTTCTACAGAATTATATTTATGAGAATCTCATAGAAAGGCCAGGGCGGAGAATAATGAAAAGCTCTCTTTTTATATACGGGTAATAAAAAACAAAAAAAAAGAAAATCCCATAGAAAGACAAACATCTAATCGAAGTGTGTATACTCTTTTGTATTTAAATAATAATATGAGAACATTTTTAGAAATGAGAATCTCATAGAAGAGCATGCAGAATGCCATAGCTTATTTATTCTATAAGACAGGAAAGGCGAGCAGCACTTAAGCAGAGATTTGAAAGAGCTACATCTGAGTCTACTATCAAGTTCTAATTATGAGAATCTCATAGAGAGGCGAACAGCTATTTAGCTTATAGCTATAGAGCTTACAAATTATTAAGAGAATAGAGATTTTCTGAATACAAGTCATGTATGTACGAATCTCATAAGATAAACATTAGATATAAGAACTCCCGTGAGAATCGCATAGAAAGGTTATTATTTAAGTTTACTCTAAAGATCGAAAACCCTTTAATTTCCACTTATGTTTAAATGAGTATGAGAAGGGCAAGCAAACCTTTAGTATCATAAAGTATTTATATTCTCACATCAAGTCTTCCCTTTCTATTCAAGTGCAAGCTGACCCTTGTTTACTCTATAATGTAGTCTGTACACAGCTCCCATACGCATGCAACAATTGTCATTAGCAACTGATTTCTTTGCCTTGGCATCAAACTTTATAGAAAACTCTCAGCATTCACCAGCCGCTTAGCTCAGTCAGCAGATCGGGTGGGAGGGGAGCTGCTGCTTGTAAGCCAAGAAAAATGGCAAAAAGAAAAACAAATTTAAATAAGACAAACGTCAACCAATTACCGTCAATCGCATTTTTCCGCAAACGTCGAGCGACGGCGGACGTTAGCTCAAGCAACCTTTTTGCCCAGCACAATTGCCAGTGACTGCAGCATGAAGATGCGATTTCAGTTGCTACAACTGTGGCCGGCCCAAAAGGGGGCTAGGAGCATGCGCGGGTGGCATTGGGCGCGCATGTGCAGTTACGACTGCGTCACACGCGGCGGGTTCAACAAACTGTGCGGCGGCATTTGAATAAGTTAAAGTTAAAGTTAAAGTTGTTGTTGTTGCTGCTGCTGCTGCTGGAAATCAAATCAAATCCAAATCAAACAAAACAAACTGCTAGCAAAAGCGACACAGCTAAGAGCAGCAGAGTTACAGTAACAACAACAACAACGCAGCGACAAGGCATCGAACAAATTTCCATGCTGCTGTGAAATTCCGCGCTGCAAAGACGACGACGACGACGACGCTGAACCAAGTTGTTAGTTGTTGCTATAGCTGTTTGTTGCCAAGGCTAGTTCTATGTCTTTTTATACGCGCTCAAGAAGTAAGCAAAGAGAGTATATTGGTTTCAGGCTTGGTGCTTGGCTGTACACTATGTGTATAGCTGCTGTTGAAGCTACAGACTACAAATCAAACTTTATACACCTGTGTTCATATAAATAGTAGTAGCAAAACTACTATTTTTATGAACAATAATAGATAATAGTAAGCAGCACTACTATTTTTATGAACAACTATATATAACTAAGACCGCTGAAGACTTGGCATATTAGATTAGATTTCACATATAAATTCCTGTTTACTTTCCTTTTATGCTTTTAAATATATTTCTCGCATCTACGCCTACTAGAGGCGTGGCTAATTGGCTATAAACTACAAGACTCGGACATAGACTTGCTGTAGGCTTCATCGCTCCTTTGCCGCTGGGCAACAACAGCAATTTTTGCACAGCATTCTGAATTCTGAGCGAGTGTTATGCAGTTGCTTAGGCCCGACTGCAATGTTCTTACTTGTTTTTTTTTTTTTTTTTGGCTCTGCGCGCAATTATCCGTCGCGTATTTGCTTTGGCTTTGACTTTGGCATTCTGCCATCGATGTACATGTCGAATGTGTTTGTCTGTGTTGTTGTTGTTGTTGTTGTTGTTGCAAACCTTTCTTCCACTTCCACTTAAATTGCCCATGACGAGCTGCGCACACTGACAGCTGTGGCAGCAGTTGAGCAACTGTCTAGCTGACAGTGCGCCCAACTCTATATACAGATTCAGTTCAGCAGCAGCAGCAGCAGCAGCAGCAAGCACAGCAACAACAACAGGCATAGGCAGTGTATCCATCATCAGCATGCGATTCTCATGCGAAAAGGTCAACAGCAACTAGTTGCAAAGTTAGAATTTCAATCATTGACTTTGGCCAAAGTGAAATGCTCCGATGATACGCCAGCCAGCTGCAACAGTTGCTGCTGCTGCTGCTTCTGTGCGTTGCCGGCAACATTGTCGCTGCGCGTTGGCCACTTTGTTCTGGAGCGATATCTAGCAGCTAAAAATTGCTGTTAGGCAACAGATCACGTTCGCCGCATGCATACAAAACAGCAGTTGCAGCAATGGTTGCTGCTGCTGCTGCTGCTGCTGCAGCAATTGACTTGGCCATTTTCAACGCCAGTTGATTTTTCATTCGATCCATTTGAAATTTTTTGATGCCAGTTCGATATGGCCATAAGATAGATGCCAGCTCGTTACGACTGCAGCCAAGAAGTACTTCAATCATATTCAACACAAGCGACACAACCACGGGCCCTGACAATGAGACTTCGATTTGGGACGCTGACAATGGCCATTAAAGATCGATGGCTATTTGAAGCGAGGGATTTATTATGCTTTAACATCTTCTGCCTCTGTCTCTTCTTCAGCTTTATTTTAGGCTTTATTTAATTGTTTACTTAGTTAAGCCCTATGGCCAAGCGAAACCCATAAATTCTTTGACTGCAACTCGCATTTCTAGTGCCCCGTTTAAAGGGAATAGTTATGGCTCCAAGCTACTAGCCATAAAAGTTATAACCAAGAAACCTTTAAATAAAGTGCAGCAAGAAGATTACTGCTGAGTTGGGCATAATAAAACTAAGGGTTTGCCACATGAGGCATCTTATATATATATATTCTTGACAAAGCATGATGTACTTCTACACACTTCCTCCATATTTTTGTAATCTCTTATATCTTTATTGTCCTGCTTTTATCTATCTACCTCGCTCTCTTATACCGATTCTCCTATCTCTATCTATATATCTCTATTTAACTATCCTTCTGCTTATTTTCTATGCCTTCTTCAGTTATTTTCTCACTTTCTTTGTCTATCTATCTCTCTTAATCCACCTCTCTATTTACATATATAACACACTTTCATATACTTATATATATTCCTTTAACAGCGCCATTTTTTCTTTGAATTGCTGCCTTTCTATGCGATTTTCATAAAAGGTATTGTTTAAGTATGCTTTAATTTGCTGTCCTATATGATGAAGTAAGTATATTATAGCTTGCATAATACAATATTAAAGTAAGTATACATCTTTCTTCAAGTAAGCTCAAAATGCAGGGTAATTTGAGGTGTTTTTGACTTGTTTTTATATATATTATTAAAAAATGTTATAGGCACAATTTTTTAGACCTCCTAATTATAGTGTTTGCATAGTACTTTCTTACTCTCCCTCTTAGATAAATATGCTGGGTATTTCTAAAGTGTATTTTGCTTTCTTATATACAAGCTCATGCAAAGTAATCTTTATAACTGTTATACCTCTGTTATACACATATCTGTTCTAAGTAAATGCCTCACATTATGCCTCACATTAAGTGAGGGCAACTCGTAGTCGATCATATGGGCGCAATCTGCTCACTCAATTGTTAATTAACAATGCTGTTTGCATTGGCAATAGCCTTGCCAATTATTGATAAGCAGCACATACAGGACATGCTCATTACAATAATACCAGTTATTCCATAATTAAACCTTCGGCTCGTAATACAAATACAAGAGCAGGGAAATATGATATACAACAACAGTGCCTTAATGGAGTTCGCGCTTAAAAAAGGCAGCAACAGCAGCATGAATCAGCGTTTTATTGTATACATATAAAGATATATATATATATATATATATATGTGTGTGGATATACTGTTTCTTCGAATGATTTAACTGTTGGAAATTCATTTGGTGCATGTGCGAAATGAGTTAAAAGCAGCTGCGTCGACGACGACGACGACAACTGCAGGGCACTACGCATAAAATCAATAGCCCAGCACAAACACAAACAAGCACAAACACACACACACACACACACACACACTCGGCGTGTTGCACTGTCAACAGTCAAGTGGCAGTGCATTAAAATTGTAAACTTGAACAACAAACAAAAGCCACAAACAGACGCTCGCTCGCTCGCTCGCACGCCTCGATGGTTGGGCCAGACGGTGCTGAACCAGGGTTCGAGTTCGGTTTTGGTTCTCTCTGCTCGATTGGCCAGCATATTGCCGCTAGCACAGCGCAAAGTGTGGGAGGCAGGGAAGAGGTGCAACAACAGCAACGACGACGACGACGCGCTGGCAATGCTGCCAATTGTGCACATTGGTCGCCTGGTATCCGGCTTATAAGCTGCCAATTTCAAATTGTGCGTCACGTACACGCATAATGGTCAAAAGTAATGAAAACATATGAACAGACACGCAGCAGAGCAGGGGCAGCTGGAGACGGCGGCTGATCGGTGTGGCCCTGCACGCAGCACTGGGGGCAAGCCTTGCACATTTCCAGTAGGCAGCCCAGGCAATGCGATTGCAAATGCACAAAATAATAATTTGCAATACGCGCAGTTCAATTACAGCAACAGCAACTGCAACTCCTTGGGAATCAACTTGCTTACTTGCGTATCATTTGGCCATGTTGGCTCATTTATTTTACAGTCGCTGCAGTCATATAATTGATATGCTCTAAGTAATTGGCGCTGACCACGCGAGCAACGTCTATGATGTTGCTGCTGTTGCTGTGGCAAGTGAGAGATCAAGCAAATGATTTGTATATCAAGCGATCGATCGATTATATGTCGGACATGCTGGCGACACACAGGACCACCTCGCTCTCTACCTGCCAGACATTCATCTCGCGCCTAATTGCATAGCCAGCAGCAGCCGCAGCCGGAGCAGGAGCAACTTTAATGCATTGTTGCTAAATTTTGTTTATAAATCAAAAGGCTTAACGCTTGGCAACTTGTTATTGCTGTTGCTGCTTGCTGCTGTCGCCAACATGTTGCCGTTGCTGCTGCTGCTGCTACTACTCTAGTTGATGTTGGCGCTATGCTGAAAGCTTTACGTTTGATGTCGCCACATTTTGTGCAGTTTTCTTGTTGCTGTTGTTGTCCTTGTTGTTGCTGCTGCAAAGCTGCCATTTATAGGCAATTAGGCTTTGATTTTAGTTGCTGTTTGAATGGTTGCTGCCGTTGCTGGTGCTGTTGCTGCTGTCCTGCGAACGCCATTAATGCAGTGTGTAACAAATCATGGCTGCAATTAGTGCGTGTTTATGACTGCCTGCCAGCAGGCCATATACAAACTGAGAGAGAGGGCTAAAACAGGCGCCCTGTCATGCCAAATAGCTGGGCAGTATTTCAGCGCTCAATATTTTGTACTTTTAGCTGTCTGTTAGGCTTCAATATATTTTTTTTTTTTTTTTGATTTTGTATTTTGCATGTTTAGCGCACCACACAATTTGCATGCAAGCATCGAGCAACAATGGCCACTGATGATAGCAACTAGAGAGTGAGCCGTGAGCCGTGTCCCGTGTCCCATGTCCCAGCATCCCATCCTAGTGTCCAGTGGCGTCAATAATGGCCTGTCTTTTGCCTCCGCTCTCATGGCCATAAACGCCCGCCGGCTATATTGTTAGCCGCATCGTAGTCGATAGTTGTTTTTACAGCCGCTGCCGCTGCCGCTGCCGCTGTTGCTCTTGCTGTTGCACTAATTGCGCTATCCATGAGCAACACACTCACACACGCATATATACATCCTTAATGACATAGATCATGCTAATATAATTATATAGTAGCCGCTACAACAAAAGCTGCTCTCATATCATATCATCAAATGTAAAAGAGAACAAATAATCTAGCCGGCATTATAGAATTATGGAATTATGCAATCGAGCAAGCACAGCCAGATGAAAGATGAAAGATGAAAGATGAAAGATGAGAGTTGCGAGCGTTAAAACTAAACTATAGAGTTTACTTACTTGCTTCTTCCTTCTTGCTTTTTTTTTTTAATTTGCATGCCCTCTTCTGAATGTAGGTCATTAAATGGTCGTAAGAGTCGTCAGATGAAATGCTTGACGCAGTCATCGGTGCTTACAAAGCGTTCACGATTTTGCCATTTTCCCAGCATCAATTGGCCCGAAACTCTGCAACAGAAGAAGCAGATGAGAAAAAAAATAAACTTTAAATAATTTCTATATTAAACGAGCATGAGAACAACTTGCACATTTTTGACAGCAATTTTCTGGCCAACATCGCCCCAAAGCAACAAAAATGGCATAAAAACAAAAAAAAAACAAAACCCCAAATCGTTGATAAGCAATGTAGTTGAAAGAATATCAGCAGTGATATATCAACTGTCTAAGCACTGGACTTAAAAAAAACCAGACAGAGAAAACTATGCTTGGCATGTCGAAGACTAAATACTCTAACAAAAATATCTTTACTTGTAGAATTTTATTTATATTAAAAGCTCACACAAACCTTTAAAGAGGTTGTCATATTCTTAAGTATTATAAATATATCTTTTAATAATATAATATATTTATATCTTACACTCAATTTATATTAAGCATTTATTTAAGCATTGTAATATTTTTTTATTTTCCCTCTATATACACATTCTTTGCCAAAGACAACAGTTGCTTCTGCACGAAGACATCATTGGTATACTGTATATAAATACTTTAAACCATCAACAAATCTGATTCCTTACGTTACACACTTCACAGCTAATCTAATATGCTAGCAGCTAGGGCATAAAAAGTAAAAACAACGAAAACAGATAGGTAAAAAAAAAAACTCAAATCGCTGAGTGCTGCTGACGCTTCAACGCTGCAAGCGGCGAAAAGAAATGCAATTTTCGGGCAAAAAGGCAAACGGCGAATGAGTAGAATACATGGCGAAAGCAAAATGTGCAAAATGATATTCGTCTATGAGGATGATGACGCCGATGCTGATGTCGGCGTCGGCGTCAACGCTGGTAAAAATTGTAAAAATGTAAAATGGTAAATGGCGATGCGACCGTCGCGCTGCTTAAAATTCCAAAGCAAATTGCGGGCAACAACGCCAGCAAATGTTGTTTGTTGCCTATTTGTGGTGGTGGTTGTTGCTGTTGTTGTTACTGTAGCTGTTGCAGTTGTTGCCGGCAACAACATTCAGCAACATCACAAACATCAATTGACCCTTTGGTGCTTTAGGATCAAGCGTAATAATCGCTAGCATAAAAACGCTTTGCACTCTTGCGCCCAGAACGGAACGGAACAGTACAGAACATTGGCCCAGGCAAGGAACCTTAACATGAGCTCCTAAACATTGTCTGTAACTGAGAGCCAAACCAAACCGAGCGCCGAGATTGGACCCATGGCACACATGTGGCTCTGTCTCTGTCCCTGTCTCTGGCTCTGACTAGCCAAATGGCCAATGGCAATGGCAGCGAATGAAGATGAATCGCCAAAGTCTCAACGCGTTTAATAAAACATTAATTTAAGCATATATCTTATATACATACACATAAACATACATACATGCATGTACATGTATATGGAAATTTCAATTGGGCCGCCAGCATTTGCTTCATGCTGACAACTAACATATACATACACACATACATACAAATAGATCTAGCAAATTCTAAAAGAGCGCATAAAGTGCTTAATTTTAGTCTTTTTATTGCTTCGAGCTATAAGCTGAGTAATTGATTCTTAAATAATTAATTAACAAGAAGTCTACCTTTTAAATGAAATATGTTATTCCTTTATTCCTTTATTCCTTTATTAGCAAAACAAAGACTCAAAGCAAATTACATTTTTCCAATAACAGAAAAGTGACAATAACGAAATATTTGAGTATTTTTTTTACCTATTTTGCTCTGTTTTTCGCTCCATACATGTTGCTAGTTTCTTTTGACACTCTTCGCTGTCTGAAATAAGTCTACACACATGTAGTGAATATGTATTCTTACAAATGTACATATACGTGTACGCATATACATACATATTTACATATGTGTCATATTTTAATACCCTGTAGGAAATCTGACTTTCTTTTCTTATTCTTATTTTCGTTTAATTTAATTTAATGTATTTAATAAAGTATTAATATTTCTGTACACTTACAAAAAATGCAATTTATAAGAATTAGACATAATTGGACATACATAAATACATTTGTACATTTGTAACAACTCTTTTTTTTTGAGTTCTTCCTTTTACTTATCTGTCACTCAGTTAATGTAACACTCATATCTATGTATGTATGTTCAGTATTAGGTTTTTTAACAGAGTCTGTTTCTTCTCTTAAGTTCCTTGCTTGAGTTGTTCTTTCAATTGTTTTGTTTACGAAATTCAATTAATTTAAATGTTTATTAGATCATCTTTAACTAAATTGCTGTAAAAATTACTTTTTCTTTAATATTATTAAACTCGTTCTCTGCCACAAATTTCACTGAATTAAAACTCATCAATGTAACCACATCGCATTCTTTAATATTATTTAATTGTGTCATTATGTATTCTAAAGCAACCATTTAAAATGTACAAAAGGTAATCGATACAACATTAAATTGCAATAAAAAAAACACACGCACTCATCGATTCAATAAAGGCAACTAAATTTACGCAGCTTAAATTGAAAAGAGAATAGCGGAATTTTTGACGTTGCGTTATGTCTTGTGTAGTTTTTTCACATTCTATTATTCTTTTTTTGCTTAATTTACAGTTTTATTTGCGGGCTATGTTAATATACACTTCTTTTTGGCATTCTTTCGCTCGCTCAGAATTCAATCAATGACAGTGCGTCATAATCGACTATCGTTGTAACAGCATCAAGTACATATAATTATTTGCTTAAGTTCTGAGATTCAATGAAATATTACATATTAATGGGAAAGTTTATAAAAAAGGTATTTGTCTTATAGAGAGAAATTTATGCACTAAATTTAACAATATCAAATTTTGTAACTTTGCAACGATACTCGCACCCATATGCCCAGTGAGACTTGAAGTAGTGCAGCGAAATGCCATATTGAGTGCTTCACATATTGCAGACAGTTTTTTTTGCTGGTTCTTTTAAGATTTTTTTTGTTTTTGTGTAACACCCGCCTAAGGGTCAAATTTTGCACGCTGTCATGTGTGTGACCGTGATCCATGCAACAGGCCAGTCGCAGCCTGGCGGAACGAGTGCAACACGAACTATTTTAATGGACTTGGCATGGCCCAGCCGTGGCCATATGAGAAGAAGAAGACATCTGGCTGTGCCACCAGACTATGCCATCTCCAATCATCTATCAGTGTGCGAGTGTGTGTGTGTGAGTGTCTGTATACACGCCCGTTAATCAGCTTTGCTTGGAGGCCTTTCATCAAAGCGCAGGCGGCACCCACCACCACAACAAAAACAACAACACAAAACGAAACAGAACAGAAAACAGATTAAGCATACGACGTGTTGTGCAGTTAACCGAACTCCTAGCAACAACCACAACAACCAAATGGTCAACTAACGGTTTGGCATGCGTTGTTGACGTTGAGACTGCAAAGGCTTTTCAGTCTGAGATTTCGACTGCGACCTGGCGGCAATTGTAATTTATGATTCGCAGCGCACGGTGTTCAAATGATCTATTGGCGCGCCGTCATTCGCCATTCAAGTGATTTTCTTAAGAGGCGGCTCGTTGCACTCTTCATCATATGCTGGGCACTTGTTGCAGCGGCATCTATATATATGTATAACATAACAGTTAAAATGAAATATTGCCCGCCCTCCCTAAGGGCCTTGACTGTTATAAAAGTGTTATACTAGATGTTCGCAATGGAAATGCATATGGATGATTAATGGATCTGAAAAGTCAATGGGTGCGTATTTTTATCATTGGTAAACTTTATTCTTTACATTTACATACAATTGTTTAAAATTATGTTGTCCAATTCGACATGGATTCCACTTGAGAGTAAAAGGTAAACAATGTGCGAACGAGCGAATCTCTAAATATTGACATCAGTTTAGAGAATTCGCAATTCGATATGTCACACATACAGTGGTACCTTTCAAGCATTACAAATACAAATTTATATATATATATATATATATAATTATATATATGCGTGTGTGTTTGTTTGTGTGTATGTAATTGAAACTGTGTATTATAGAAAATGATTTGCATTAATATGAACTACGTAAATTTTAAACTATAAAAAACTGGCTACTTTAGAGGGTTACGATAGCTGGGTAGCCACAAGTGCTCAATTGTTGTTTGTTGTTTGTTTGTTGGTTGTTTGTTGTTGTCTGCAGCTCACGTAAAATGTACAAATTTGAACTGACAGAGCAAATATGTTTTGTGTGGGTGTGAGTGTGTTTGTTAATAAAAACTAGAACTATTTCTTCTTCGACTCGACGGTTCGTTCATGATGCTGCCGTTGTTTATTTTGTTGCTCCCGTTGCTTCTGCTGTAGTTGTAGTTGGTGTTGCTGCTGCTTTTGTTGGTGTTGCTGTAGCTGCTGCTGTTGCTGTTGTGTGCGGCTGCTGCTTTGCGCTTGTGCCTTGGGCAATGACTATAATGGCGGCGGCTCATAATGAAAACCCGGATTATTGAATTTAAAACGCGCGATCTCAAATTGCAGCGTCTCATAATTGATGTCGGCCAAACGTTTTAATTGATGCGCAATCTCCTGCGCATCCAGCCCACTCAATGCAGCACCCAGTGTTGTGCCCTGTCCATCATGATGCATCTTTGTGTTATGCAGCGTCGGCAGCGAGCCGCCCGTCTGAATCGTTGTATAAGAGCGCGGCGCATTCTTAACTAAAAGCAGACGGAAAGTGTTATATGATTGTAACTACTTTTGGTGATTGCTCTACACTCACCTTCATAGATCACCTGATCTCGTCGTAATCGCTTCACTGGCAATTCGCCATTAATTAGTTTCGTGCCGCCACTGGAGCTGGCCGAGTGTATATTGGGAGTGCACACAAACTTGACGGGATCATTTGATGGCTCCGCATGATCCTGATCTTCTTCCACATAGGTTGAATTGTCCACAACGATGGTGCGATAACCGCCGCCGCTTGTATTTACGGCCGTTGTGCCGCCGACAGAGGGTCCATCGATGCCGCCGCCTGGCTCATGCATATTCTCATCGGTGAGATCCTCCTGATCGACGTGCTCCTCGACCATTTCATCCTCGTCATCGTCATTGATGGCCTCTTCGACGGCGGCTTGCAGCTCCTTTTGGAACGATGCCGATGTGCGTTGTCCCAACTCCTCCATATCATCCTCCTGATCATCCTTTTCCGATTTCAAATTCATTAACGTTTCTCCAGTGCCCGGCACCTTGCCAAATAGATTGAGGGCACGCGTCTCTAGAGACGACATCGATATATCCTTCTCGCTGGACATAAGGCTGCGTCTGTACTTGCATCGTGTCGTGTTCTTCCAGTCGTTTAGGCGCTGTAATAAAAATATTTGCGCGTCATTCATTTGCCGCCAATAATCGCATAGCCTCCCTTCCCCACCCCCTTCTGTTCAACATAACGGGAGACCCACACAAGCCCTACGCGCGCGCACACGCACACACACACATGCATATACACATACACATGCACAGAGAGAGACTCACACAGAGATGCAGAGTGTATGAAAAACTCACCTTGCGCCATTCCTCGGCTGTTAGTGTCGGTCCCGATCCACATTTGTTGAGCCTGTCGGATAGCTCTTTCCATTTTCTGGTCAAATAATTTAGATCATAATCGCGCGGCACGCGTCCGCTGGCAAAAATTGGGTCGCTCTCCATGAGCTCAATGTACATTTGGTACTGCTCCGAAGATGTTCGCTTTTTGCGTCTATCCATTTTGCCAACCAGCGAATTGCACAATTTGTCAATGAAAATGGTTTTTTCCTACAGTAAAATGCACTGCAAACACGAAAAATTAAAATCGACGCCACCAAATGCAAACAATTTTTACGCGTTATGTATTTTTTAGTGCATTTCATACGGCGGTGAACAAGGCTGCTATATGCAGACTATCGATAAGGATTATGGTAATCGCGCAATGTTGCTCTTGCTAAGAATAATATGCTGCTCACAATTGATGTAAACATACTGTAAATGTGTAAATATAAACAAACATTTCATAATACTGCGATCAAACCATTTACTTGAATTTTAAATAATTATGATATTTTCTGAATGAAAACAGTTCAACAGAAATATTACAAAAGTCGATGCTTGCGTTCACACTGCTCATAAATATCGATAGTGAAGAGTGCTGCCCAGCGGCAATAATAGTGTTACCCATAAAAATACGGAATCATTAAGAGAATCCAGCAAATTATTTTCTGTCAGCTTAAATTGTAAAAAAAACAATATAATTGTGAAATAAAAGAATACAGCAACTTTTAAATTGTAATACATAAATGTGGCAAACGAGCGCGCTACATCAGTATTAAAGAAAAACATAAATTGATATAATAAAAACCATGCAAAAAAAGACGCATGTTCAGTTGTTGGATATTTCATTGCGAACAAAACCAGATGACAACTAAACGAGAGAGCAGAGCGAGTGCGAGTGAGACACAAGAAAATAAAAAGATAAAGTCGGAGACCATCACGAATTTAACTACAGGAAAATTCGATTGCATAGATTTATATATATATATATAAATATATATTTATATATAGAGCATAACTACTCTCTCCATGGCCGAATCACTGCTCATTGAGGAGCCGCATCCCTACATCGAGGATGTGGCTGCATCTGTTATTGTCGAACCAACAGTGGGTGGTGGGGGCGGCGGCGGCGGCGGCGCCGGCACCTTGCCTGCTGCTGCAATGCAATTTGCAGATCTAACAGAAAGCGGCAGCGAAAGCGGCGACGATATTAACAGCGATCCACAGCCACAACAACAACAACAGTCACAGCAGCTGGAGAATGGCTCCTCGAATGCAACTCCCGCACGCTCATCGCCGCCACCAAATTGTGCCATTTGCTTGTCACGCTGCAGACGCAAATGCTTTACAGACTCCTGCATGCATCAGTTCTGTTTCAAGTGTCTGAGCGAGTGGAGCAAGGTGAGTTACAGGTGTTCAAAAGTGTATTTAATGCCGGGTCTAAACATAATCTCATCACATTGCAGATCAAAGCGGAATGTCCGCTCTGCAAGCAACCCTTTAAGACCATCATACACAACGTGCGCAGCTTGGGTGATTACGATCGTTATCCTGTACAGTCCAGCACACCGGAACATTCTGCGTTGAGCTTTCACATTGTCAATATCAGACGGCAGCGTTATTCGAATCAGGGTGTTTTGACCAATGACATCGATGCCGCTGCTACGGACGATTCACTGGATGGTCTGCTGCCGCAGCCAACACGCATGCAAGCGCCTTTCAATCGCTTCGAGCCGTATCGCACGGAGCTATTGAATTTCTATCGTCATGACCAGGACGCTGGTGGTTCGGGTTCACTCAGTCAGCTCTGGCGTCGCTACGTCTACGACCGCAAGCTATACGCGTTGCCTGTCAGCGATAGTCTCACTGGACAATTTCGCGAGTGGAGCGCACGATTCTACAGGTAAGAGCCAGCAAGCGCAACAATCATAAATAAAATGTATGCTTATTAAGTGTTTCGTTTCTTACCCTTTAGAGACAATCCCGCACAGATACATCGCTTAATGCCCTGGATCAATCGGGATATTGTTTGCCTGCTGCGCAACTTGCCGCAAAATGTGAGCGAGGTGATGCAGCTGATGCATGACATACTGCCCATGATCAATATAACGACCCGCACATTCCGTCGCCGTCTGTCACCCTTTCTGGGCGACCGCACCAATCATTTCATACACGAACTGTTCAATTTCGCACGCTCACCCTACGATATGGTCGGCTATGATCGTGTTGTGCAATATTCAGCGCGTGTTGCCGAAGAAGTGGAGGTGGATCTGCTCGACTTGGTGTCCAACAATAACGAAGGCAGTGTGTCAACAGTCTCCGATGCCAATGGCAGTGGCAATGGCGATGCTAGCGGCATTGCTGAAGCGAGCAGTGACTGGAGCCGATTGCCACGTCCCTCGACCAGCGTTATTGTTACCAATCCCAGTGCAACACATTCCTTTAGCGTGACTATGGCCACCGATGGCAGCGAACTGCCTGGCATTTCGATTCGTCGCACAACCACCTCGAATGTTGGCTCTCAAACGGTGGCCATCAATTTGAGCATGCGTCGTCCGGCCAACGAGGTCATCGAGATTGATGATGGCGATGCTGCGGCCAATGCCGAAGTTGCTGCCATCAATGATGGCAGCCAGACAGGACGACGGCAAGCGGGTGCCAGTCTGCCCATCAGTGCGCACATCGAGCTGCAGAGCAGCGATTGCAGCAATACCAGTGATGATGATGAATGCGTCTTTGTGCTGGAGCGTAAGCCGCCGCATTTGCGCACACCCGAGCTGGTTAGCCTGGACTCCAACAGTGATTCGGATGTGGTCTTTGTGGATGAGCAAAGGCCAAACACGCCGCCGAAATCAACAGTTGGCGAGCGAGCCGAGCAGCTAGCGGATGATGCTGCTGCTGCTGCTGCAGCTTCGACTACTAACAGTGTGCCCAGTGAGCTGTTCATGGGTCCCTCAACCAGCACTGGGGTACGTTCCACCTCGCACAAGCGGTGGAAAACGCTGCTAGAGGATGCACGCCGTAAGGATTTAATGGCCAAACGCCACATGACACGTTCACAACACCGCAACAGCTTGCCATCAACTCTTGGCGACAGCAATAGCAAAAGCAACAGCGCCAACTGGACCAATAGCAGCAGCAGCAGCTCCAGTAGCGAGGATTCCAATGAGAAATTGCGCAAAAGGCGGCCATCGCGCAAAACTAAAACGCGCAAACGTGTGGCCAGAAATGACAATAGAAATAAATTCAAAAGCAAACGGCGCCGCAAGCATGTGAAGGCTGACGAGGTCGTCGAGCCGCAGCGTTCGCGCCTGGCAAGCAGCAGCAGCAGCAGCAGCAGTGGCAGTGACAATGAGAGCAGCGATGCAGCAGGTGAGTGGCAAATGAAATTTATATAAGCCTCATCAAACTAAAGTCTTATTCTGTATAGGCAACATAGGCAAGGGCAAGCACAATATGAGCAGCAGCAGCACCGATGAGAGCAACAGCAGCGATAATCTCAAGCTGAGCACATTGAGAGAGCACTACAAAACAGAACTAAAGTCGCACAAGCATCAACTCAAAGAGGAAACAGAAGAGCCGCAAGAGCAGGAAGAGGCAGTGGAGACGGTCGAGCAAGAGCACCAAATAGAGCAAACGCAATTGCCGGATATTAAGAGCAACGTTCGCAAACGCCGACGCAGCTGCAATAGCAATAGCAGCCAGAGTAATCTGTCCAGTCACAGCAATAGCCAGAGCGTTAATAGCAGCACCTTGGCCAGTCATTGCAATACCACGTCCAGCTGCTCGCCCTTGAGCCTCACACTTAGTAATGCTAATGCGCAGCCTTTGTCGCTAGTGCAGAACATTGTCAGTACGTTGCTTGAGCTATCCACAGTGAGTGCTGGTGGTGCAGCCAGTGAACAGTCGGGCGCTGTGGAGGCGGATGCATTAAGCCATTTGCACAACAGTGGTAGCAGCATGCATCAGGCTGTCGATGAAGATGCGCGATTGGGCAACTATTCAGATGGGAGCAATGATGATTTTATGATCGATGTCGTGAGAGAGGCAGAGAGCAGCTTGCTAGATGAATCTGTTGAGGAGGAGCGGCAACTGCAGCAGCAGGACCAGCAGGAAGAGGCAGTTGAGCAGCCAAGTGTTGCTTACGAGGAGGATGAAGATGACGACGAGGATGACGACGATGATGACGACGATGATGACGATGAGGATGAGGATGAGGATGAGCATGACCATGACCATGAGCAGCAACACGCTGATGATGATGATGATGATGATGCGACCGATGATGCTGAAGACTCTCCAGCACCTGATACCGAGGCCAGCGACTCGGAACTGGATGCAACGGATGCCTACTAAGACGCCTTGCCGCTTGCTAAAGCATGAACTGTGTTTTTTCTTTTATGAGTTTTTTTAAAGCGTTTTTCCAATTAGTTATTCTTAGCAACTTCTATGTGACGTTCTTTAAAAAAAAACCAATTAATTGTTGACTATACCTAAATAAGAAGACGAAAAAACTAACTCCCAATTCATATTAAGAATTTAATGTTAAACGCAGGACGAAAAATCTTTTGTAGTTTGGAGGCCGCTGATTAAGCTTAAGCTTAAGTTTTTAAGTTGTACATACACATAAAAATACGTAGCTACATTATATTCAGTCATATATATATATATATACATATATATATATATATATATTCATTGTATTATATAAAAGCATTGTTCCCATTAAGCCACCCACCCACACACACGCATCCTACACCCACCTCCGAAACCGCTTGCATGCGCATATTTTAAACCCGTTTAATCACATGAATTAATTTGTAAATGTTTGTACTTAGATATGTAAACACAAAATACAAGTATATATATAACTATATATATATATATATATATAAATCCATATATCTAATCGACTTAAGTCTAGTTTATGAACTAAACTCAGTGTAGTAAACAAAAATTTCAGCAAACGAAATCCATTATGCGTATGCCAAATGCTGAGCATATCCAAAGTTTTTAAATTAACATTTTTTTAACAAGATTTTAATTAAGTTCTTCAGTAAATGCAATAATTGTATAAATAAATCTATATATATGCAGTCTTTATATATATATATATATATATATATATATATATAAAGCATGCCAATAGTCTGTATCGATTTCTCAGCTGAATTACATATTTATTAAAAGTATATTATACATGTGTATGAACTATACATATATAATATATATATTATAAATTATGATTTTTATTTTGTGTATAAATTGTGCACGTAGTTAATAAAACAGAAAATATGTAATACTATTGTGAATCCACTCTGATTCCTAAGCATATTTATAAAAAAAAAAGAAATTGATAAACGTTTTGTTATTGTTAGCAATCTTTATATAAATTTATCTTTATCATTAACTGCGTCAGCGGAAATTGATTTCATAAGATTATATGTCTGAAGTAACCTAAACATATGCAAGCTGTGCATGGTTCGTAGAATCGTAAACTGAAATTTATTTTTTGTCAGTTGTCTTTGAGCTGCCTTTGCGAACGTTATTTATAGAATTGTTTCTCTGATCAGCTGTACGATCATAGGCATATATTTCGTCACATGTATGAGTCTATTGCATATAAAGGTTAACTATATATGTGTGTAGCTATAAGGGAGGACATAATGGAATTTGTAGACATAGTTCATATATATATTATTGATTTGTATACTCAGTCAAGTCGCTATAGCCAGTTGCGTCTGTCTGTTTCATCAATTTCACTTTATCAAACTTGGCCTACGTGCGTCTTATAGTTGATGTCAGTATATATAGGATATACATAGATAATAAGACTACTGTTAGATCACATTATCATCAATCAAAAAATATTTAAAGAATACTTTTTAGACAACTTGTATCAATGTGTTTATAAGTATACTTTATATAGCTCACCAATATCGATAGACTATATCACATAGCTGCCCCAGGAACTAGCAGTTAAAACTAAATTTATTTTTGGTCTCTCAAGACTTACTTAACTAAAAAATTATTGATATATTCTTTGTACATGATCAAAGTTTTATAAATATCGAACGCCCATACCTTAAGGCTTCCATTGAGAGTAAATATTTTCAGCTTATTAATATATCTAAACAAAGTTTGGCATTTCAGCAAGCTACAAACTGTGCTATATATAAATCAAATCTAAACCATATCGGCTGACTATATACTATGGCTGCTATAGTTAGTATCTCTGCAAAATATTGCTCTTGCTGTGTTTTTTTAAGTTTTGTTAAACAAACTAAAGTTTTTCAGTTTAATTAAGTGAATCTTATCAATTAGTGCACTATATCATATGGCTATGATAGGAATATTTAACTATTTCTGTGGGCCAAGTCTAGGACATGAAATCTTTAAAGTTGCCTATGTTTGCTTGAGTCATCCAGCAGTCTTAGTGCTAGAGCATTATCGTGGTTATGTGGTTTATTCATGTATCTTTTTGCATTTAGTTGTAATTCTGCTTTAACATATGGTAAATGAGGTATGAAAATTAAGTTTTTGTATGAGTTTTGATGATATCTTAATCAAAATTTGTAAGTTCAGATTTCTAGCGAACCAACCTTAGTTAAGAGAAATACTTGATAACATTATATCATAGAGCTGTCTATGTAAAAGTTGGGAGGGAATGACTCTATAAAAATTTTTATAATTTTTTTGAACTTGTTAAATAAGCTTTATCACTTTGAATACCCTTTGAAATATAAGACTTTGAAAAAAAAAAAAAAAAAAAAAAAAAAAAATATATATATATATATATATATATATATATATATATATATATATATATATATATATATATATATATATATATATATAGACATATATATAAGTAAAACTTTCGCTTAGTAAAGCTTTTTTCAAAGTCTTTCATCTCAAAGAGTATTCAAACTTCGGCGTGTTTAGGTTGGCTTTGAGCACTGCTTAAACATAATTTGGTTGGAATTTCAGTGTAGCCCTTATAAGCCCTTATATTCTAGTCTGATCTAAGGAGCTTAGCGCAGAGCTAATGTGCTTTGTCTGCAAGCCAATTGACTCATTTCTAAAATATCAATTTTCTATACAAATATCAATTTCTTAATGCTATATCGATAAGATTGCTATCGTTATCGATATGAGTTTGTGCCAAGGCCCGGCATGCCAAGTGGGCAAGTGACATGTTTGTGCCAAAAACCTGGATGTGACCAACTTAATTGGGTAAGCTTTATATACATATTTATATATATACATACATATATATATATATAAATATATATATATATATATAAATATATATATATAGATAATCAGCTCAAATGTATGTGTATATAAGAAACACAATAGGTAACAGCCTGGGCAGCTCTCTCTCTTTCCCACGCAGCATAAACAAGTGTTTATGTGAAACGAAATGGAATGAAACATGAGAAACATGAGAAACTTGGGCTTTGCCTGTGCTGTCTGTCTGTCATATTTGTATCTTTCTGTGTCCGTTTTCGTTTTTAGTGAAATTCTAGGGAATATTTAAGATAATCCATCAAATATTAGCGAAATGGGCTCGCGCTACATGGTCTATTGGCGGGTGTACGTCTACTCGAACAACTTGTATTCGCTGCCGGAAAGCGAGTCGCGCAGCTACCGTGATTGCACGCCATTGATGTACAGGTGAAGTCGCACGATGTAGTTATAGAATGTATATATATATATATAGCTACTTGTTCACTTCGCAGACGCAATTCGGACGAGGTGCATCGTCTGCTGAGCTTTGCCAATCGTGAGCTGTCGGTGCTGCTGTGCAACACGCAGACGGAGCTGCTGACCGTCTTCGATGTGCTGCAGGAGCTCATCCTGGATGTGAGCATGAAGAGCGTGGAGTTCAATGCGACGCTGGCTGCCTTTCTGGGGCCCAAGACAAATCATTTCGTGCACGAACTCATTAACTTTGCACGCTCCCCCTACGACGATCTGATCAGCTACGAATGCAATGTGCAGTACCGAGCTAGGCCCATGGAAGCTGTGGAGCAGCAGCAGCAGCAGCAGCAGCAGCAGCAGTCGTCGTCGCATCTCATGCTGAACTTTGTCGAGTTCTCTGCGTGCGTGGACGAGAATGAGTGCGTTAGCTTCACGGCTGATCTGGAGGTGGAGGACGAGGATCCCGACGAGATCGATGAGCTGGCGGACTTGAATGATTTGAATACGCCACTGCTCCTGGAGCTGCGTCGCCTGCTCGCCGAGCGCAATGCATCGGGCACGCTGCGCGGCAATCAGCCGGCCAGCCAGTTGGCCAATGAGCTGGTGTTGCAGGCAACCAATACGGCAGCAGCGGCCGTGGCAGCGGGCGTGGCTGGCAACAGCAGCAACTCCAACTCCAACTCCAACTCCAACTCGAACTCCAACTCCAATTCCAACTCAAATTCGAGCAACAGCACAGGCGCGCCGGGCAACGGCAATCTGCTGGCCAATGATCTGGGCCTTGAGGTGGCCATCGAGCGCAGCATGCTGGATCGCTTGGGCTCCGACTACTATATGCCGCGACGCGCCCAGCAGCTGGTGGCCAATGCGAACTATGCACGCAACTTGGGTCGCAATACGGATGCAGCAACGGCAGCGGCTGCAGCGGCAGCGACGGCCAGCTTGATGCGTGTGGCACAAACGACGAGTGGCATGAATACGGGCTTGCGTGCGGCGCTGCGAACGGCGCCGCGGCCCAGAAGCTCCAGTGTGGCGCCCAAAAGGCGACGCACCACAAATCGCGATCTCGACCATTGAAACTAACCCAACTGGACCAAAGACACAGGACACAGGACACAGGACACGCACACGCACACGCACACAGCCACAGCCACAGTCAATGGTGGCACGTGTCGCATCTATAATAAATAAAAGAGCAGCTTAACGCATTTAATATTGCCTGAAAGACAGAACTTTTTGTTGTTGCTCCAGTGCGTTTTTAAAAGGTTTTTAGCATCAAATATTGATAAGCGTTAACGGTTAAAAGGATAACTGAAAAAGGGATCGCTCATCAATAAGGACATGCCATCGACGAAAATTGCGTGCCAAAATATGCCTTTGACGCATATTTGCGCTCCTTTTGTCTTAGCACACACACACACACACACACACACACACACAAGGTAGGGTCTGTCACGCCGCCTCCTTTGGGTGCCGCGGCGCATGAAAAATTGAATTACACGCACTTTTGCGCATAAAACGAGAGGCGAGGCAACAAAATGTCGAGTAAAAAATTGCGAACGCTTTGCCTGCGGGGGCGTGGCTGCTGCCGCTTGTGGTAGCAAATTTATGGCCAGCAAATTGAGTTAAGTTTTTGTTGCGCAAAAAGGGATAATTTAATTGTGAATGGACAACAGTCGAATGTAATTCAATGCATATTTGATTTTAGGATTTAACAGGTGTACAAAAGGTACAAATGCACACGAAGCCAATTGGCTAAGAGATATTTGCAGCAGCTAAGGCAATTTAGAGGCCAAAAAGCTGAATGAGTGCAGGGAGAGAGGGTGAGCAAGGGGATAAGAGTAGCGTTAACAGCAGCTTTAAGTTTGAGAGAAGTTGAAACAAAAATTAAGAAATATATTTTATATTTTTATTTAAATTTTATTAATTTCTTAATTTAAATTTTAGTACTGAATTAAGTCTTAAAGACAGTAAAAAGCAGAGATAAACTTAAAACAAATATTTAATATTATTAATAAAATATTTATAATAAAATATTAATAATAATATATTAATAATATCGATTAATTAAATTAAAACAAATATTTAATATTAATAATTAAATATTTATAATAAAATATTATTAATAATAATATATTAATAATATCGATTAATTAAATTAATACAAATATTTAATATTAATAATTAAATATTTATAATAAAATATTATTAATAATAAAATATTAATAATATCGATTAATTAAATTAAACAAATATTTAATAATAAAATATTTATAATAAAATATTATTAATAATAAAATATTAATAATATAAATAAATTATCGATAAGTATCGAAATAATTAAAGACTATGCTTTAGTTAAAGACTATGCTTTAGTTATGCTTTAGTTAAAGACTATGCTTTAGTTATGCTATAAGTGCTAGAGTCAGTGCTGCAGTTCTATTTTATTTGCAGCAAATGTATCTATTCTATAGGCATCATCAAACTTAACAAACTTTCATTTATAGTCAAGCCTATGCTACGTGAGTTTATATAACTAAATGTAAAGCCCCATAGATCAGCTTATCTAAATGGCTCAGACACTGATTGAATGTGCACAAAATTCGCTCGAGTTAATGCTGCATTTCCTTAAACAAAATTCCTTTGACTCACTAATACTTTTATATTTATATTTATAACTTAGCTTTTAAAATAATATATTAATTTTCAAGCTTAACTCATTCACTTGAGAGGATATGCATAAGCCTCACTTTTCTTATCAGTTTGATGTCTGTCAAAGATTTTATATGTCTCTCTCTCTCTCTCCCCGTTCAGCTTAGATCAAATCGAAAACTTGACCGTGGCATAAATGTCATTAGGGGTATGCCTGCATTTGATGCTTGGCTTGGCTTGGCAAACTAATTTGCGTAATGTTGACGCAAAAAATAAAAACTTTCTGTTTGAGTTGCCGACTCGCCCAGTTGTCCAATTGACGGACACGCCCAAGAAACCGAAACCGAAACTTGGCCAAGAAATAAAAGCGTAATGCTTACAAAAAACTTTTGACAAAAATACCCTGTAAAAGTGGTTAAAGTGAGCAGAAAAAGAGCTTGGGGTTAATATTTCAAGTACCATGTAAGTTTGGCAATAAGTATTGACAGAAGTTTGGTATGGACTGGAATGTGTGACAAATATACCCTGTAAAATCAACTTACAAATATTTTTGACAGAAATGTGTTTAGGAGCTGCTTTCTGACTGTCTGTGTGGAGAGTGAGCATTTATCGATAAGTATCGAAAGTAGTTTTGGCGTAAATACCCTGTAAAATTATTATATATAAATACTATATATAAATACTATATATAAATGCTATATATAAATACTATATATATGTACTATGTATAAATACTATGTATAAATACTATATAAAACTGTTCTGGAAGCATTTGCTAGAAAAATGAGTAGTTTTTTTTTAAATAAATAAAGAGATGTATATAGTATAGCTAGCTATATATTTCTCTTTATTTATTAGAAAAAAGCTTTGCTTATTATTTTAGCTAATACTTCCAGCTCAGCTTTATATAGTTTTTATATATAGTGGACGTACTCTGATAAGATTGAGATTCTGATGAGAAGCATTGTTTGCTTGAGGCATATTAAAAAAACAAAAAAAATTTGATCTTAACTTTCTATGGCAGCTGAATGATATAGTAAGCCGATATTGATAAGCTTTAGTTTATACCTAATATATTAAATAATATATAATAATAATAATAGATTAAAATTTAAGAATATCAAGTTGCGTTGTGATAATTTAAAAAAAAACAAAAGTTTTTCCAGCAAGAGCTAAATTTTTGAGTGTCGACTTCTTGATATATAGATATATAATATAGTAATACGAGCTGGCTGATTTTGAGATGGGTAAGCGTGTGTATGAGGTAAAGCAGAATTTTGTAGAGATAAAGGAAGAAATAGATTGAAATTGCTATAGCGATAGATGAGTCTAGTTTATATATAACAGCTCGACTGAGACTCGGAGAGAGATACTGAGCTATGTCTGCTGCCATGAGCAACTCCATTGCTAACACAGCTTAATGCAACATAAGTTTCAAATAACTACTCAAAGATCTTCTTATATTCTAGGGTATTTTCAAATTCGACATGCAAACAGTCTCAATTTGCTGGCCAAGAACTTTTTGCGCTGCATTCGCAGCTTGCTGCACGCATTGGGGCGGCGGCTGTTGGTGCATGGGCGTGGCTGGGTGGTTATTGGTTTGGCGATTTGATTGCAAAAGTCAAAAAAAGTTTTCGCCCAGATTTGAGTTGCAAATTACGCAAAGCTAAATGAAGGCAGCTATCTATTTCAGCGGCAGATATTACGCATACGCACCATTACACTTGTTGGCGAACGCATAAATCAAGCGTGGCGCCAACTAAATGGCGAAAATCAGCGGCTCTTTATGTGAGTTCTATGAAAATGAGGCAGGCAGTTGGGAAACTATATCTAAGCAGCAGAGAGCAACATCGTTATGCAGCCATGCCGTGGGCGTGGCAACGAGTTATGGCGCATAAATGTTTAATGCTGGCAGCATTTTCGTAGCTTATCTCAAATTCAGCAAAAAGAAACAAATATAAAATTAAAATAATTGCCACATTTGCCGCAGCGGGCAATTAATCAAAAGCCGCAATGATATGCGACACAATTATGTGGCACATACATAAGAGCGCGTGTGTGAGTGAGTGGGCGTGTGGGCGTGTGGGCGTGGCTTGGTGTAACCACATTCTGTTAGCCGTTTAACACTAATGAAGGCTGTTGGTGGTTGCCTTTAGCAACGTTGTCGCTGCCTGATTTGATTTATGCCTCGGCATTTTTCCACCTGAAATCAAGTTCGCTCTGCTTCTTATACCCTTTAATGAATGCATAATAGAAGGGGTATGCTCATTTTGTATGTGTGTGTGGCAGACACTGAATAACTGTATACTTACATGCCGTTATCTATATATATAAATATATATATTGTTCCTCAGCTTCAAAAGCTCAGTGCAACTTAGTGAATGCTTCCATCAGCCCATATGAATGCTTCAATCTCGAAAACTTTAACAGCTAGCGGCTTCAAATTTGACATATACACGCTTGTTTAGCACATGTATAATAATTATATTAGCTTTTTCACATATCTTTTAACATTATCATAATATTGCTAAAAATTGTTATAAAGATATCGTTTTTTGAGCGTAACTCGAGGACTATAGTAGCTAGAGACACCAAATTTGATATGTGAGCTCTTGTAAAGCTTATATAAATATAAAAAATTTGCTTTTTAAAAATTGTTATACAGACATAAATTTTTTTGAGCATAACTCGAAAACTATAGTAGCTAGAGACATCAAATTTAGTATGCGAGCTCTTGTGTAGCTTATGTGTATATATAATATTTGCTTTTTTAGAATAGTCTTTGACAAGCTATTTTAATTTGAAAATATTAAATTAAATCTTGACAAATTTTTAAAATAATTATAAAAAGTTGTTTTATTTTGGATAAGTTTGAATATTATGCTCTGAATTCAGAGTTATTATATGATATTAAGCTATTTAATATCAATTTGATATTTGTATAGTATCTTTTGGAAAATACTATAATTATATATATAAGGTTTGACTTTTTTGTATATAATTTTAAAATAAAAAATATCATCATTTAATTCATTTTATTTTAAGTAGCATATTGACTTTTGGCAGAGAGCTTAAGCTGCATAAAGATCCACAAGGATCCTATCTATAGAAAGAAGTAGAGCAGCTGTAGCATAGTGAGCTTATGTCTGTCCATATATATTTTAGCTACAATATTAGGTCCACTGTTTAGGGTATTTAGGAGTTGCTCACTGGCAAGACGCTACCTGGTTTCCCTGCTCATTTTTGTGCTGTGTGCAGTCGATATCCTGCTGTGTCCTGGCTGCTTAGATTTCCGTTTGCGACACTTGCGGCCTGCAGTTGCCATTTGCCAACTGTAAAGCTGCCACAGACTGTGGCACGTACTCGTACTCGGTTTCCATTACATTTCAGCGGAAGCCGGATGTTGAAATTGTTGAGCTGTTGCTGCGCCACTCCCTCGCGGCGTCTCCCTCTCTCGTCAAGGTAAGCTGCTTAGAGCAGCGCGAGCAACGCCTGGCAACTGGCAACTGGCAAAGGAAATTGCCTTGGATACGCTGTGGCAGACACATAGCTCGAAACCCAATCGCAGCATCCTTTA